CCCCCTCCATACCATAACCCTTTTTGCTCCCTTTTTTTTTTTTTTTTTTTTTTTACAATCTTTTAACTTGCTTTTTTCTCTATTCCTTACAAAGTCTGCCCAGCTCCTCACCCAACTAATGGGTAGAGTCTCATATTAGAAATATCAGCTTCACTTCATGTGCTGGGAAGATAGTAAAAGGCCTCACATGCTGTGCTGGAGGGTGAGCTACCATTTTCCCCAGACTGCCTGGTGTCCACTCTCCCCTCACAGACCAGAAGCACCACTACTGCTTATAGATTCCAATACCACCAGCAGTTGGGTCTTCAACAAGGCCTTCCAGTGAAGGGGAGAACCCAACAAGCCTATAGGAAAAAGGTGGTTGGGGGGAGTGTTTAAAAACTGTTTTTCCCCCAGGAAGAAAGCAGGTGTAAGAGATAAATCAAGGACATCACAGGTCTCTGGGCTTTCTTTACCTTGCATGCTTTCCTTAAAGGCCTCTACCGGCAGAGGGAGCCAGAGATCCAAAGCTATCCAAGGCACTGCCCTCCAGGCAAAAACAGAAGTGATTAACTATGCACTTTTATTGCTGGCAACAACCAACCGGACTCACTTCTAATCTACTCATCTAGCCAGGGTGAGAGAGGCACAAGCAAATACTATAGCTGCCTTTATTTTCATTTGGAAATGTATGTGAATTGGCATATGCAATTACATGCAGCAGCAGGGCCTTGGCAGCTATCCCTCAGGCCCTTACAGCCCCTAGGCTTGCTGCTCATTTGCCCACAGTGGGTGAACAATATGGACACAGAGGTCATTTTAATTAAACTCATCTCTAAAATTTACTGGCACTCACACTGGACACAGCTGTGGCTCAGTAACACGAGATGCAGTTCCTGAAAAAGCAGGGATCCTCCAACTCTGATTCTGTTTTCAGGAGGGGCTGCTCAAAGCACAGGTGCAGAGTGGGAAACATGTGAATCTTCTGCCAGGCCCAAATGGGGAGCTATAGAATGATCTCGGTCCAGCCGAGTGCAAAACAGATTCAACAACATGCTCATTGTGAACCCCAATTAGCAGGACTGGAAATGAGGCAACTACACCTTCTCCCATCACTGCCATTGCTTATGCCAGCAACATACGTCTTCATCAGCAAGGCAGAGGTGAATGCTGCAGATATGCAAGGGTAAACAGGACTAAACTATCCAAATTTAGAAGTCTAGGTTTTGGGGAACACTGATAATCCAAGATGCAGGAATGATCTACAAACCATTCAGCTAAGATGCACACAATAGTTTACACGTTAAAAGTTCAGCCTTATTTTCAGTTTGTTTACATACAAGGATACAGAAAGTAGCAACAAGGAACAGTCCTGTCCAGTTTCCTGTAGGAAATATCAGATGTCAGAAGGAAATAATTAAGTTTCACTTTGTTCCCTCAGAAAGTGAAAGCCTGAAATGCATTCAGTGCTACCCAGGATCAGGGCAGGAGGCACTCTAGTCACTCTGGAGCTGCTGGTGTTGAAGACAAGGTACTACTCAGCCCTGAAAATTAGAAGCTTCTGCATAGTTGAATTAAAGCAGCAGCACATTTGCACAGCAGACAGACATATCCAGATGTCGTGAATTCCCAGCCATATATTAATTCCCAAGATTTTGTTCTACAGCTTACAGGAAGCTGAGCTGCCATCCTGCTTCTTCAGGAAGGGGGAGCAGAGATATTTCAAAATGAAATAATCAGTACTGATTTACTGCCAGATGGGAAGGGCAGGGGCCAAAAGCAGACATGGCAGAAACAGGAGCAACTTCAACAGACTTCAGAAGGGGCTTATGCCTACTCGCAACGCTGATCCAAGCTGACTGCAAGTACATTACATACTTTCCCCCTCTCTGTAAATGACACAAATGACATTTTTAGGCTGGAAGGCAAAAGAACTGACAGACTATTGACATAGGATTTGATTTTGATCTGTCAAAGCCTCAGTACAGAGGAACTGTGCTTTCATGGGGGCACCAGAGTGTATGTATAATTAGCACAGTGGAAACTCTCCTACTATTCTTTTCCCAGAGCGTAAAGCATCTCAAGTGTAGGAAGCAGGAGACCCCGAATCATATTTCACATAGCTCTCCCCATACTACAGCCACAGTGCTGGTCATGCCATGACTCCAAAGACCAGATCATCTTTATTTTTAGGCACTTCAGCCCATACGTGTCTCTGTGTGTGTGTGTGTGGGGAGGGGGGTTCAGTTCTCCCCAGAAATTCTCAGACTTGTTCCTGGAACTTGGGAACAGAACTGACAAGATAAACACTTCCTGCTTGGATGACATCAACTAAACAATGGGGTGGGGGGAGAAGGGGGAAAAGGAAAAGAAAAGAAAAGAAACAGATGCTTGCATCACTTTATCATTTTCTACTTTATTACTTCAAATTAACAACCACGATAAAGCTCAAAAAAGTCCAATATTTACACAGGAAAAAAGTACAAAATTCCCCCCCCTCCCAAAGTTCTTCAGGTTTTTTTTTTTCCATTTTTTTAAATTACAAAGTAATAAAAAGTTTTGCTCTTTAATTAAAAAAAGAGAGACAGTAAGAGGGGTAAATAAATTAGGAAAAAAATAACGGGGAAATAAACAAAAAAAAGTTGTTAAATAGAAAGGATAAAAACAAAACAAAAATAACACAAGCCCTGCACATCCAACCACCCACTGGCTTCATGCTACAGTGTCAGTGCGCCAGGAAGAGGCCATAAGTCGCAGTGGTGATCATTGCGTTTTAAAACCCAAGAAGGTTGGTGTCTTGTGTATTCCTAAAATGTATTTAAAAACTAAAGTGGTGGGCGAGGGAGGAGGGCTGCCAGACATTGGATCTTATTTAGGGTGTGGGCGGAAAGAGACCAAGGATAGGTCATCCTCCCCCAACAAGACCAGACCCCTGTTTCTGCATACCCCTCTCCTCCTTGAATCCCACCACTCTCCTCGGTAAAATAAGGGGAATTTAAAAAAAATAAAATAAAAACCCTGAACAAAACAAAACAAGAAAACACCACACATGGCCAGACAAAGATCCCACCACCAGGATGGGAAGTGGGTTACAATCTCCCTGTCCTTCAAGCTTGACTTTGCCTCATCCACGCAACTGGGTCCCCCCTCCAGAAAGAAATCCTTGACACGCTGTGGCAGTTCGTATCATTTGCGCCTGCCTGGCACTTCTTACTGCCCACAACAGTGCTGAGGTGGCATCCAAGGAAAGGAAGCCTCAAAGCATGGGAGGCCTCACCCAAGGCTCCCCCTCACAGCTTGCAACCCATTTCTTTTAATGCTTGAGGGGAAAAAAAAAGTCAAGACTTCTCCCACCAGTCAAGGCTGGAATTCAAGTCTCAGGAGACTCCTGAAAACCAATCTACCCCTTGTTCTCGGGGGGAAAAGAGGAAAAGAAAAACAAAACAAAAAAAAAAAAAAAAAGAGCGCGCAAGCGCGAGAGAGAGAGAAAAGACAGAGCACAAATGTGCAACAGAGAGAATTAAAATTAAAAAGTTATACTAAAACCATTAATGTCCAAAATAAACCAAAATAAGGGTAGGAAAGTTATTTAAGGGGGGAAAAAAAAAGACGACAGACCAAAACAAGGATGGGGGAAAGAGGGGAGTGA